GATAATAAAATGATAATAAAATTGATAATAAAATGCATGTACATGAGAAAATGTACATGCATTTTATTATCTTTATCATTTTGTAGAATTAAAAGAAGCAGTGCGCAGCATTCTTTTCCACCTCCCTCTGTCAAACTTATACAAGGGACACTTTCCTTTGTCGCGTAAATATAATAACAAAGTTACACATAACAGATGTATGTTTTTAATTATATTAATTTTAATTTGACTGACTGCCTTTTCTATATACACATACGGTTTAATTCAGTTGAAGTCCAAAATGAAATATGTTCTGTTACTTTAATTTATTGTTCAACTATTTGCTATTAAATTAATTTAATTAATTATTTTTCACTTTAGCTTTTTTCATGACTCTGTTTTGTATAGCTGGGAAAAAAATCTGATGTGCACACCCCATGACTTCCTTGTATGTAATATTAAGTTATACGCAGTTTTTCCTGCATTTCATTTAAACTTATTCCTTGAATTTGATTAGAGATGTATTTCTCATTCAATTAATTTAGTTCTCACTTCGTGACGAGGCAAAAACACATAAAACCTCAAAATACTTTTATTTAAAATAGAAAAATATAAACCATAAATACAGTTAAAACAATTTAAAGAAACACTTTTACAATTAAAATTAGAGCATCTACTCAAAAACAAGGAATTCGGCCAGTGAGCAAGACAGCATATTTTTCAGTGCACAAAACTGAAAGTTTACTTTTGGTCTCATTCGGCAAAAAAACACTGGAGGTACAGAAACTGTCTTAATTTGTTGTGAACGCTATGCTGAGTCAATATATGGGATAATTTAATAACTTGAATGTTAATTCCAGAATAGATTAAGCATGATTTAATTCACAATAATAAAAGAAGACGTTACCTTTGTTGTTGCAAAGCTTAGTTTCTCTAGATTGGCAAAAAATCCACTAGTCTGCTAACTTTCAAATGTAAACAAATATGGCTATGGTAAAAAATTAGGCTTAGCCGCACTTAAACAAATTTTAAATAGATGATAATTCTACAACTATAACATGCAGCTTAACTAAAGGCATAAAAAACCTTAACCGGATGTAAGAACAACATAATATAATAATTTTTAAAGCAAAAAATGCACAATTTACCAACATATAAGAATAATAAAAAAAATCTGAGCTCACTGAGCCGAGTAACAGAGTGGATATATATATACTGAACTAATGAACTGAAATTCATTAAAATCGAAATAAATGTCTTAATAATTATGCAATAGCTGCAAAAGTAAGATAATAATAATTTATTTACTAAAGTAAGATAAATTTTGTAGAATGTACCTAAATGAAGTAATCAAGAAGTATGAAATTTAATCCCGAAAATATTTTTAAAGGAACTTGAATTTAAATTTTTAAAAAATAGAAATGCAAACTTTTAATATGAAAATTAATAAACCAAGTAATTATTGTCATTGATTGGAAATTGGTTGACTTTTCAACAGGAACAAATCAACTCCTATTCAATTAACAATAACTAATAAATGGTGTAAATTAATAAAGTGTTTCATCTTTTACTCAAGTAAGAATGATAATGCCAAAGTGGCAATTTTAGATAAGGCCAAAATTGTAGTTGAGCTTTAATTCAATTACTGAGATTAAAGAAATGAATTAAGATTAAGTAGTTTAAGTTAATGGATTTTCTAGAAATCTTGAGATATTATAACCAAATTAAGTAGAGTACTATAAGGAATCCACTTTGAATACAGCATTTCCATGAAGTTAATGATTTTTTAGAAATCTCAAGTTAATGCAACCAAATTAAGAAGTAAAAATATTTTATTATACTTGAGTAAAGTGTCCCCTGACACCCTCGCTTTCATGCATGTTAATTCAAAACTGTTTTTATAAATATAATAAACAGAAGTTAATCTTTGCTATACTTATGAAATAGAACTCAAAGTAATCGTAATAAACATGAGAAATGTAAAAAAATAACGTAATCTTTGCAAAATTAATGAAATATAAGTTGAAAAATTGAAATACATACAGTGTTCCCTCGCCACTTCGTGCTTCATGTTTTGCAGCTTTAGTGCTTCGCGGGTTTTTCCAAAATATTCATCAAAAAATAAAAATGAAAAAATACAACCAACCAAAGAGTACGTACCACTACTCAGAGTACATACCACGGGCTCTCATAAAGGCACATGATTGGTTTCCAGTGCAACATCCACCAATGAGAGAACCGGTGGATTTATCCCTGTGAGTTGATTTTCTGCACATCATCGCAGTCTCACCTAGCATATTCTCTTGTTGTATCTCGCCAGTCTTGCCCATGATGTTGAATGTCTCGCATACTATATTTTAGTGTTGCGGATTACTGATTGCAGGAAAAAGACAGTGATTTTGGACACTAATATGATCAGGACAAAGGCCTAAGCTCGCCTGATGAGGACAAGACGGTGCTGACAAACCTCAAGTCATTAATAGCGCGTGCCAGGAGTGATTCGCCTCGTCTAGGACGAGGCTTTTCAGCCAGCAATACTTGTTTCGAAAATTTTCAAAAAAGATACGGCCTCAGGAACGTGCTTCTGTATAGTAAGGCTTCCTCAGCTGAGAATGATGACGCTTGTTGTTACGTGGAGGAAGAGTTTCCTAATCTCATCAATAAGGGAGACTACTTCCCTGAATAAGTTTTCAAAATGGATTAAACATGACTTTTTTTTTGAAGAGGATGTCTTCGCGTACATTCCTCTTCAAGGACAAAGTGAAGAGGCCAGGGTTCAGGGCTCACAAAGACCGTGTGACTGTCCTCATGGCTGGCAATGCTGCAGGTTTTATGCTTAAACCAGGCCTTATTCATAAAGCCAAAAATCTACGGGCATTAAAAAACAAAAATACGGCTCTGTTGCCTGTGTTCTGGATGCATAACTCCAAGGCCTGGATAACGGAAGCTCTGACCCTTAAATGGTTCCTCCATTGCTTCATTCCCCAAGTGAAGCTGTTTTGTTGAAAAGGGCCTTCCCTTTTAGGTCCTTCTCCTGATGGATTGTGCAGGAGGCCATGCAACGGACCTGCAATATGACGGTGTGCAGATAGAGTTTCTGCCCCCGAACACTATATCTCTAATTCAGCCGATGGATCAAGGTGACATTTGTAACTTTAAAGCACTCTACACTCGTTCCACAATAGAGGGCCTCATCTCGGCAGTTGACGATGCCAATGAATGAATTCACCTTGAAAGCATACTGGTGCAGTTGTGACATTGCCTCATGTTTGTCTAATATTCAGCAAGCATTAAAGGACATGAAGAGCGAGACCATAAATTCTAGCTAAAAAAAATTATGGCCGAACGTGGTGCACGACTATACAGGCCTTACTCCTGAAGAAGTTTATCACTCAGAGGTGGAGAAGGCGACGAGGCTGGTTCACATCATAAGTAATGAAGGATTTGTTGACCTGGCAAAGAAGACATCAGCGCCCATATCGATTGCTACTCGGACCCACTGAATCTGCAAATGAGGAAGAAAATGAAAAGGAAGATGAAGAAGAAACTGAAAAGTGTGGCCTTACCCTGGAGAATCTGGAACAATTGTGCAACATGGCAAGAGCGATGCAACAATTTGCACAAGACATTGACGACAATATGGTCTGAGCTGTCGAGTTTAGCAATCACGTTGATGGGGTTATGTCCTTGTATAGGGGAATTTTGAAGGAAAAGAAAAAAAAAAAAAAAACAAAGACAGCAACTACCCATCACCATGTTTCTCTCCAAGGTAAAGCCCCCAGCTCTATCGTCAGCCCCTCCAGCAAAAGAGTCTCCGAGTGAGCCTAAAGCTTCTATGAGTCAAGTGAGAGCATCTCCTCCGCCACCAACACAAGTCAATTCACCTCTCTCAGAAAGCAATGTTGATTAATGTTTATTACCGTATAAGGTTTTGTAATTAACCTTATTAATTAGCACTGACATGTTTAAGTAAATACGTATACTGTTGTAATTTTTATCTTAAATGTGTAAAGTATAAATACTGTTTGTATATTTAAAGCATTCTTGTACCCGCATACACGAAAATTCCTAGGTGGAAATCCTACTTCGCAGTTTTTCAGCTTTCGCGGAAGGTTCTGGTCCCCATTAACTGCAAAAAATGAGGGATCACTGTATATATAAAAAAGGGTGTAAGGAAATGTACATAATATACAAAAAAGCCAAAATATGAATTAATTAATTTTCTAGAGGAATGATGATGTGTGCATGTCTGTTTTCTTACTCAGAAGGAGAGTGGTATAATTCACAGGATCCCCACTGCCACTCCCTGCTATCTGATAACATAGCCTACCACACTCCTGGCAAATATTATACCACACTCATGGCAATAGTTATGCATATTTATATTCAAGAATGATGTTGTAGCAATATTGTTTTTGAGATAATGAAGTTCTTTTCTCTTCTTTTAAGTTTGATTTTATTCTATGAATAATCATCAGAGGCATAGTTTTTTTGCGCAAGTGAGTATTTTAAAATTATGATGTGGGTCTTTAATTAAGGCCTACTTCATTCTGAAGTGCAATTTTACTTCTGTGTGCATTGAAAGCTGAAAAAGTCAGTAACTTTGTTTTTGTAAGCTTTAAAATCTGGTAATCCTTGTTTGCAGCTAAGTACTTAGATGATAAATTAAAAATCATGTGGAAAATATAAAGATTTTCTTGTACTACTTGAAGAATAGGACTACTTTCCTACTTTAAGAACATGTACTAGTTGAAATGCAACAAATACAATTAGTTGATTCATTGAAGTTGTTTAAAATATGCTATCCAATTAATACAAATTAAAATTTCAATAACATGCCTATGTTATGCAAATTCTTTTCAAAATATTTCCCACTTCCTCAATGTTTACAATTTTTAAAATAGTACGAATGTGAAAGTTATATTTTTGTTACTGAACAACTTAATGTTCATGGAAAATATAAAAATACAATTTAGAAAGATAGATGAATAAATATGCTTTCAAGTGGTAGAAATACATAC